GTATGAGTGCTTTAAAAAAAGAGCAGATATCCACATTACAGCTCAAAATAAATGATAATGATTTTACTTGTGGAATTGAAGAATGGATGCCACCTTCACATGAGCTGAAAGGTATTGTTTTTATTCGTCAATCTCTTAGCTGTGATTCTCCAATTGAAAGTGGTTATTATTCAAATCGCCTAAAAAAACCTCCTATTTGTTATTATTGTGGTAAAAATAATTCATTGGTGGAGGCAACTGACGATTTACTTCATGGATATCAATCTGTATATCCACTTTGTTCTAATTGTCAACTTTCAGGTCATTCTTTTCATACTTGGGGTAAGAAAAAAGTTAGTGAATTAACAAGAAAAAGGAAAAGAGAATAATTTTTGTATTATATAATCTTTTAATAAATAATTTGTTAAGTAAAATGATTGTTATTTTATCTTTATTATCGTATTTTTATAAAATCACGTGATATACAAAATGTACATTTAAATCTGAATTTTTTGAAATAATGAGGGGGGGGTTGATGTTAAACGAGACTATTTGTTGGAACGGCCTTATTTATAACTGTTCGTCATCTCAAATATAGATCAAGATAAATATTAATTTAATGTAATTGGTTTTGTTTTTTAGTAATACATATATTAAAAACAATATTATAGGTGACGTATAACATAATTAGCAAGTGTTAGAAAAAATCTGGTCAAGCAAATGTTATTGTTGTAAAACCAAATTTATTATAATTGTCCTTTCTTATGGCAAGGAGCCTTATTATCAGAATTCAAACTCTGAATCTGATTCAAAAGAAGTTGGTATACCATTAAATTCTTATCTATCACTAGCATCATATATTGGATATTGGCCATCAAATGAGACATTTGATAGAATTTCTTGGTATGATATAGTATGAAATCAACATCTATCAATTGGATATGGTGTTTGTATATATTTCAATGATATTCTTAAATATTTAATAGAAGATGATAATGATTACGAAATCTGAGAGGCATTAGCACAGATAATAAAGAAAAGATATTACACTGGTATAAGAACTACAAAATTGGTTGATATTTTAAGTCTGAGTTATTAAGAATATTCTTATTGAAGTACTAATAAATTTTTGCACCTTATAACATTCTTTTTTTTTTACTATACCTACCAATTTATACATTAAAATTTACAATTTCTCGTTAAATGCTGAGAAAGAGAACATTACTGCTGGATCTGTTATTTACCAAGAATTGAAGACAATCCCTGAATATTTCAAAATAAGCTGAAAAGTATTACCAAGCAGGCTGTGGTATTTGTGAGAAATCAATATGAACAAGGTTCTTCATACTACCATACTACTCTTCTCAAAATTCTATCAAAGGTAAGATAGGATCCCACTTATTTATAATAAAGGTCACTGTAACTATAAGGTAAATCACTAAGAAAAAAATTTTGATGATTTTACTATAAATAGATAAATTATATCTAAAAAATAAAATGGTACATTTCATTATTATGATTTTTTTTCCTTTTAAATCAATTAACCAATAATATTAAGAATTAGAGTAAGATAAAATTACTAGTAAATTTGAAATTTTTTCCAGAGATCTTTATTAGAAGTAAGCGAATCCTGGTAAAATATAAAACTTTGAGTAAATAGAGAATTTATTTGAATGATGAATAATGCAGACAGTGATACCATTCTGAAAAAGAAAGCATAATAGACTAAATATCCTATTAGCCCACTCACAGGATTTTTTTCTCAGCAGTATGAAGGGTAGTTAGGCTATAAGTATATACTTAATTCAATGTAGTTATTTCAGTATCACATAAAGTCTTTATTTGAATATTAGAATAGCTAACCATATAAGAATAGAGCTTTATTTTAATCTGACAGCACATATACTTTTGAGGTACCTATTATAAAGGTACCATACTGTATTAAAATTATAAAATATAAACAACATAACTTTTTAATGCAAGATTAATAATAGTTATGAACTATTTATTTGTTTTCTATCACTGCATATTTTGTGTAAATATAACTGACAACTACTTTATATTATCCAGAATATTAGTTACTTAAATAAATGAAGAAGCTAATATTGAAATAATTAATAGTATAAAAAGTAGTAGTCTATAGCATAGCGAACATCCCTTATATTGTCACATTATTACCGATCATTCGCTGATCATTTATTAATCATCTTTTCAATATTGTCACATAAAAAAAATACTATCTGGTTAATATATAAAGCTGAAATGATGTTTGATTTGACAATTTTGAGGGTAAAATTGATCAATATTAACAGAAATTATATCAATACATGTAAATTTTTATAATTAATAAATAAAATGAAAATTCAAATTTTATAATCTTGAGATCCAGTAAATATATTCTAATGAATTATATATTATTAGATTGGTCTCAGTGAGAGGATTCGAATGGTAGTAAAATCATTTCCATCAGATCCATATTGGCGAAGTTATTGCATTTTAAAATTTTGTACTAAATTAAATAGTAATATTATTAGTATTAATAATTGCAAATATTAATTTGGCCATAACTTTTGTGTTACCTAAAATTATGCTGTGTTACTTCAGCCATTAATTTTAAAGACATTAATCTATAACTCATAAAAATTTCAAGTTTTGCCCGAATTTCTGTGGCTTTGCCCAAAGCTTCAAAATCTAATTAGGAGATGATCGGCATATATTAATTAATTGAAAAATTTGGCCTAAAACTAACTTTAGCATTACATTTTATTTGGCACAAAATTTTTATATTAAACTGTTAATACTTTAAACTATTAAATAAAATAATTTAATGTAATTTTTTTACACACTACCTACAACATCATTGTCATCGACTTCAGCTTGCTCACCCTTGACAGGCGTAGATAACTCTCTCAGCAGGCCCTGGAATCTTTCTTGTTCACGGATAATTCTTGGGGAGGTTTGTCTTGACAAATTTCTTCTTAATTGGGTTTCATTTTCTTGTATGCTAACATCATCTGCACTATCTGGTTCCTGGGACTTCTTCACCAGCCATCTTAATTCTCTGGATTTCTAGAAACAAATAAAAGTTTGATGAGATACCCCTGCTATTTGGTCAGCACCCTAATTGCTCTGCATTAGTATACATGGCCTCTAAACGATCAAAAATAATAGTATAAAGAATTGATACCAATCACTCACATGGAAGAATATTTGGTTGCATTAAGTGTTTTAACTTTTATTTGTAATACATTGATGCTGGGCGAGGACCCCGCTTACTTCTAATAGAGGTCTCCGAAAATATAAGGTAAAATTTATATTAAAAAAAAATTTTAGGTCTCTTAATAGATAAAGGTAAAATTATATATATGACAAATAAAGGTCTCCGGATATGTAAGGTAAAGTTAAAATAGGTTTCCGGTTTTATAAGGTAAAATCAAATATAAGTTTACAAATGTTTCGGTAAATAATAAGGTAAAATTGTATATAAAATTTAATATTTACCTTATATATACTAATTTGAAATATTGTACAACAATTATTACAATATTTGGTAATATACGTTTTATAATTTTTTCTCAAAATAAAAAATTTATTCTCTTCTTTATACTTGTAAAAACCATTTTATATTTTTAATTTTATTTGCATTAGCAC